ATTGAGTAAAAATCACCATCGAGTCTGTAACCTAGATCATCATGTTTTCAGGGTCAAAATTTTTTTATCAACATGATGAATAACAAAAAACATACTCAATATAATTGCATTCAATTGAATTTTATTTGTTTACCTAATGAATTTATTCAAATGTTCATGTCATTCTGTTATCAATTTTACCTATTGAAGCTTATTGAGAATTATATTTCTTCTGAATATCATGTTGGAATCAACTTGTTGAAGATTCCATTGAATTATTATCCTTGGAATGATAACTTCCCTTTTCTCTCTCTCTTTTTTTCTCTGTGCCTTTTTGAACACTAATTGAGAAGAAAAGACGATGAGAGAAATTGCTCTGAATTCTGATGGAAATTTACTCGGAATTTTCCTTATAACATGTAACTCAATTTTTGCAGGAGAAAAGAAAATATCAGGGAAGAGAAGAAAAAATTGAATTACAGGTAAATGTTATTCTTGGTGAATTTCATCATGAAATATATAAAATTCAGACAAAAGAATGAGAATAAATTCTGAGACCTTAGAAATGAATAGTATTTATATAGTGAGATAAAGTAAGGAAAATGGAAAAACAAAAAGTTTTAATAGAAAATGATGAGAATTTTAAATTCCAAATTGGTAAGAACTGTATAAAAAGAGAGAGAGAGAGATTTTTACTTTCAAAATACTGACCATTTACTGACCAACATCCCAGTCGATTATCATTCCTTGTGAAAACATTCCCATCAATGAAATTGAATTAATATTATACTTAACTGAACTTTAGATATTGTGATGTGATTATGAATAAGAAATGAATAGTTGAGTAATAATAATCGTTTCCGAAAAAGTTAATTGTTGAGTAGAAAAAGATTTTTATTTCAATTTTGGTTACAATTAGTGGGTTTCTTTTCCTTTTATAATTAATTGTTGACAACAATTTAGAGGTAAATGGAATGAGGTGTGTTCATGTGTGCGAATCTCCAATGGTTTCATAATGTGCATGAAAATTTGATGAAAAAAAATTGAAAAATTCTGAGAAGGGAAATTCAGATTCTTTCAGGTAAATACAATTCTTTCCTTTGTTTATTCCAATATTTTCCCATTTTCACAAAATAATTAATTGTGATTGAACAATTTACAAGTTTTCTTTATCCACCAATCATAATTATCTCACTTAATTGTTTCAATTTAATTTCGCATCACATTTTGTTATGTCAATAACATTAGTAAATAGGATTGGGATTTTTTATCAATTTTTTCATTGAATTATTAGTAAAACAATTAACACAGATTCATGATGATAAATTAACAATTTAATTTGATTTTATATTTAAAGGGAGACAATTAACTGATTTTTTTGGTTCATTTGATTGACAAATTATATAAGCTCAGACAATTTAAATTAAACTGTGAATGATTAACTTGGTGTTAACAATCAAAGGGATAACAATTGATATAAATTATTTTTCATAAATTTTGAACAATTTAAAATTAACAACAATAACATCAGGTAAAAGGTAAATCAATTTGGTATCAATGATAAGAGTTAATTGTTAATCATTAAGGTTGATTAATTTAATAGAAAAAAAAACAAGAAAAGTTTCTCATTTATTGGCAAATAATTAAGTTAATCATCACAATTAATAAATCTTTGTAAATTTTGTATTTCTCAATACCAATTAATCATAACTGTTCATCTCATTTTCAAAATGATTAACAATTAATTTTCCTCCATTAATATGATTGTTTTTTTGGGGGTTAATTTCAGTTTTCCTGGTTAATTGTGATTTAATGAATTAATTGTATTTTCATGATGATTCTTGATAATGATTAGTGATTGAATATGATTTCTCTGTGAGTTCAAATATAATTATGATTCCTGAATAAAGGTTCCAGTTTGATTATCATTGAATTGGTGATTGATGATTTTGATTGGGATTTGATTATTAGTTGATTATTAATTCAGTTTTTGTTTCTTTTCCTGTATCAATAATAATAATAATCTTAATGAGTTGATCTCATTTGTTATGAACTAGAATTTCAAAATCAGAACTTTTCTTTCCGCTCAGTTTCAAGTTCATTTAATTACTTTGCTTTAGCCTTTTATTGTTTTCTTGTTTATTTTTTTTTTCTCATAACAATTAAGGTGATTGTATTTGAATTAGACTGATTGGAGAAGTGACTTTAATTGATTTACCTCATCATCAGTTTTCTCTGTTTGTTGATTGTTCGAAGATGATAATGATTTTAATTGGGATGTTAATGATGTTTGATTATCGAAATCATCTTTACCGTTATTCTCAGTTGCTGGTCTTAACATTGGAAACTCTTTCTGTCCTTTTTGTTCAATTCTTTTTATCGAATCAGTTTCTTTCTTTTTATTATTTTTATCACCTGAAGATGATGATGAACCTTTATCTCGATTGAATGATGATGAGGATGGAGATGATGATTTCTTTTCCATGTAACCTTCATATGCTTTCAATTCATCGATCGGTTGTTGTTGTGGATGATGTTGTTTCTGTTGTAATCTGATTAAATGTTGAACTGGTTCTGATGATTGTGATAATGATTGTTGCTGAGCATTTCTTTCCAATTCTTTGACAAAGTAATCAACCATTAAATTTGTCAACAATTCCTCTGAACTTGAACCAGAATTACCTGAGGATGACGATGATGGTGACAAAGGTAATGAATAAGGTGAATAGGAAGAGTAAGGTGATTGTTGTGATATGAATGATATTGAAGGAAGAGCATGTTGTTGTTGGGGTTGGGGTTGTTGTTGATGATAAGATGATAATGTTGGCTCATTTAGCCAATTTGAATCAGCGATTGGATCATATTTGGAATCATAGATTGGATCAGAATAATCATCTTCATATAAATCACTTGATCGCTCTGATCCATATGATGATAATGATGGTGAGGGCTGATTAAAATCACTTTGGATATAAGGAACATAATCAAAATCAATTGGTGAGGCTGATTGTTGGGAGAAAATGTATTTAGGTGATTTTAATTGTTTACCATTTGATAATCTATTTGATATTAAATCGATATTATTGTTATCTGTTGTTGGAATCAAAGGTAAACGAAAGGTATCGAAATAATCTTGATAAGTTGTAGGTCGATGATTAATAATAGCACCATCATCATCGGAAATTGGACCTCGAATGAAAGCGATTCCGGGTATTGATGATGAAGATAAATGATGATAAGATGAGGCGGAATGTGATGGTAGTTGTTGTGAAGGTTGAGAGGCTACTGGTGATGGTGATGAGGAAGAGGATGGAGAAGATGATGAAATAATTGATTTTGTTGGTGATGAGGAGGAAGATGATGATGATGATGATTGTAAAGACGGAGATGATAATGGTGGTGATGATACAGATGATGAAACTGATGAATGGGAATTGAAGTTTGGTCGGTAAACTACTTGACCTAAGTTCATATTTTCCGATGGTAAAGGTAATGATTGTGAAGACGAAGATGATAACAATGGATAACAATCAATCAAACCCGTTAGGTAGGTCACTAAAAGCCCGACGATAATTGGAGTTGGTTGATTACCACAACAATGAAAAGCCGCCATGATGAATATAAAATTAATAATCAACAATAAACTGAACAAAAGTTAATTGGAGCGAATCTTTTTTTTCTGTTATAAACAACAACAAACAATTAACAATGATAACAATTGATTTTGTTTACAAGTTGAGAAAACGTATTATTATTATGATGAGATCACTTGTTAAACTTTTGTATTCGTATTCAGAATTGTCAATGAAAATGTTTCATGAATTCTGAGAGATTGGGAGTTGACTGGGAGGTAAAAGTTGTGAGTGGGTGGAGGGAGATTGTGGATGATAAAGATGAAGATGGAAATGTTGTTATTTCGTTAAGCTAATGTTATCATCATCGTTATTATCGTCATCATCTTTTATCAACATTCTGAGTCGATTCAAGGTTCTAATCTCGAACTTGCGTAAAAAAGTTTTATTGATCAGTAAATTGTAACAAACTGATGACGATAGTGATGATGATGATGAAGAAGATGAAGAAGATGATAAGAATCATCTCTTCTTTAGTTCATCGTCACGTTGACATTTTTATTTTCCTTTTATTTCATCATCACCATGAACATAATCAATCAACATGAAGCCAATGCTCTATTAAGAGTAATATAAATCTGAAACAATCGGATACGGAAAAAAGTTTATTCATTAAAAGAAACTAAACTTTATGAGTTAATTTCATTAATAAAATCAGAAGAAACAAAAAGTCAAACAGTTAAATTAACAACTAAATAAAACCAAACAACAATTTCAAGCCAAATGATCAATACATTTAGCGCAATTGAATTATAAATCTTTTCATTCAATATTTTCCCAAATTTAATCTAATCAAATTTTCATATTTGTAAACAATTTGATTTCGTTTTTTATTTTCCTTACTAATCCAAGCATATTTTAGATTATTGAATGAGCCTAAATTTATTCTTACTCAATTCTCACAATACAATCACCAATCATCCATGATCATAATAATCTTAATTGTCACAATCAATTGATCATTGGGTAACATCGGTTAGCGCTTAACATGTGATCCCTCTAAAGAAGTTCCATCTATCGGTAATATTCAAAGTTACCACAGATGTTAGCCGAAAAACTGATTAAGATTCGATATTATCAGCTGCCAATATCGATTCCATAGTTGTACGAGTAGGCTCAACCGTAATAAAGCTTAATTGTTTCGTTTAATTTTCTCACAACAATTAATATTTATCACTATTTGTATTGTTTAATTGTCATTTTCTTTACAAAATTAGTTAATCATCCTCTTCCCAATTAACAATTTACATATTCTTTTGTGTTTTTTCATCATTTTTCGCTCATTTTGGTCCTTTAAACCTACACGTGAGTTTCCCCTTTCTGGTGATTTTTTTATTCTTTTTCAGAAAAAGAGAAAAAGTTTTTCTCTTTCTAATTCTCTGTCTTTATCCTCATGTTGTTTCTTTTTAAAGAATTTCTTTTTCTTCTTTGCTCATCCTTATTTCTAATTAGTTATCTTTTGTTTTCTTTAATTGATTGATTTGTTTTTTCCCTTCTTCTTTTATTTCTTCTTTTTACAGTTGATCGTTGGCTAATTTGCTTTTGAATTTTGTTTTGAGTTTATTGAATTTCTAGCTGATGGAATATGGAAGCTTTAGTTCCTAAGAATAATGAGATGCAAGATATTTTCAACACAATTGGAGGTGATACTTTACCGTTACCACAAATTAATCTTTCCAATGATCAGCTAAATTCGGTTGTAAATGATTTTGATCTATTTGACTCTGCTGATTACGATGACGATCTATTGACAACAATTAAAATGGTTGAAATAGATGCTACATTAGATAAAATTTGTAATGTTCTTAGAAACGATTTTCCTGATCTGTTTACTTATGCATTCTTCCTTCAAGATAGACAATTATGTTTTGGAGAGCCAATAATTGATGGTTTCCAAAGTCAAACCAGTTTAATTAATTTGAAACTAAAAATTGAACCTGAAACAAAAACGGTCACCATAGTTGATATATTATATGTATTAAAACCAGATCGCTATGACGATTATTATGATGATATTATTTATACACTAAATACATCAGATAAGATTGAACCATTCTCACCTGGTAATCATTCGGGTAACAATGGAGAGATAAAATTATGGAGATTTCTTCTAGAACTGTTAACTGATGCCGATTATCGTGAATATATCCGCTGGGAAGGTACCGAAGGTGAATTTAAATTCATCCAACCCGAAATGGTTGCTCAATTGTGGGGACAACGGAAAAACAAGCCCACAATGAATTATACTAAACTGTCACGAGCCTTAGATTATTATTATGATGCGAATATGTTTGCCCGAGTTAATGGTAAACGTTATGTTTACAAATATATTTGCGATCTCAAAAAATTAACTGGTTATGATGCTCGAGAACTAAGTGCCATGGTTAATGATACACCAAGTTCATCATCTTGTATTAACATTCAGAGTCGATTCAAGGTTCTAATCTCGAACTTGCGTAAAAAAGTTTCATTGGTCAGTAGAAATTGTAGCAAACTGATGAAGAGAGTGATGATGAGGATGAAGATGATATGAATCATCTTTCCTTTGGTTCATCGTCACATTGACATTTTTATTTTCATTTCATTTCATCATCACCGTGAACATAATCAATCAACATAAAGCCAATGCTCTGTTAAGAGTAATATAAATCTGAAACAATCGGATACGGAAAAAAGTTTATTCATTAAAAGAAACTAAACTTTATGAGTTAATTTCATTAATAAAATTCGAAGAAACAAAAAATCAATCCAGTTATCACCAAATTTAATCTAATCAAATTTTCTCATTTGTAAACAATTTGATTTCGCTTTTTATTTTCCTTGCCGCTACTAATCAAAACACAATTTAGATTATTGGATGAGCTTAAGTTTAATTTTACCAAATTCTCACAATACAATCACCAATCATCCTTGATCACAAGAATCTTAATTGTCACAATCAATTGATCCTTGGGTAAAATCGGTTAGCACTTAACATGTGATCCCTAGAAAAGCAGCTCCATCTATCGGTAATATTCAAAGTCTCCACAGCTGTAAATCTGTAAACAAGTTTAATTGATTTGTTTAATTTTCTCACAACAATTAATATTAATCATTATTTGTATTGATTAATTGTCATTTACTTTACAAAATTAGTTAATTATCTTCTTCCCAATTAACAGTTTGAATGTTCTTTTGTGTGTTTCCATCGTTTTTCGCTCATTTTGGTCCTTTAAACCGACACGTGGGTTTCCCTTTTCTGGTGCTTTTTTTTTCTCTTTTTCTCTTTCTAATTCTCTGTCTTTATCCTCATGCTTTTTTTTTCTAAAGAATTTCTTTTATTTTCTTTGCTCATCCTTATTACTAATTAGTTATCTTTTTTGTTTTTCTTTAATTGATTGATTTGTTTTTTCCCTTCTTCTTTTATTTCTTCTGTTTACAGTTGATCGTTGGCTAATTTGCTTTTGGTTTTGAATTTTGTTTTGAGTTAATTCAATTTCTAGCTGATGGAATATGGAAGCTTTAATTCCTGTAATCAATGAGATGCAAGATATTTTCAACACAATTGGAGGTGATACTTTACCGTTACCACAAATTAATCTTTCCAATGATCAGCTAAATTCGGTTGTAAATGATTTTGATCTAATTTACACTGACGGTGATGAAGGAGAAGAAGATGAGGATGAAAAATTAACCTCAATCGAAGGAGTTGAAATAGATGTTACATTAGATAAAATTTGTAATGTTCTTAGAAACGATTTTCCTGATCTATGTACTTACGCATTCTTCCTTCAAGATAGACAATTATGTTTTGGAGAACCAATAATTGATCAAGGTAATCTAATTGATGGTGCCCGAAGTCAAACCAGTTTAATTAATTTGAAACTAAAAATTGAACCTGAAACCAAGACGGTCACCATAGTTGATATATTAAAACCAGTTGATGATGACGATGATTATGATGAGGATCGTTTAATATCAGCTAATAATGAAAATATTTTAAACAACTCTATTAATGTTAATAATAACAATGGCAATCACACCAATTCAAATAGTAATCAATCAAGCATTGGTGGACAAGATGGTGGACATAATGGTGATGATGATTATTATGATGATATTATTTACAATACACCAAATACAACACCAATACGTACACCAAATATGAAAACGTGTCTTTCATTAAAGGAGAAAAAGTTAATTGGTGGTGTTAAACGTAGCTCATCTAAATCAACAACAACAGCAATTAAAACAATAGAATTGGACAAGATTGAACCATTCTCACCGGGTAACCGTTCGGGTAACAATGGACAAATTCAATTATGGAGATTTCTTCTAGAACTTTTAACTGATGCCGATTATCGTGAATATATCCGCTGGGAAGGTATCGAAGGTGAATTTAAATTTATCAAACCCGAAATGGTTGCTCAATTGTGGGGACAACGGAAAAACAAGCCCACAATGAATTATGATAAACTGTCACGAGCTTTACGTTATTATTATGATGGTGATATGATTGCCCGAGTTAATGGTAAACGTTATGTTTACAAATTTGTCTGCGATCTCAAAAGTTTAATTGGTTATGATGCTCAAGAATTGGATGCCATGGTTATTGATACACAAATACGTCGAAATAATCGACTTTGTTGACAATCAATTAAAATTTACCATCAATGGTTAATCATTAATTTCACTATCATCATTCATCTTAAAAAGAAAACAAACATATTCTTTAATTGTTTAAACAATCATCTTTTCTACGCCTGGAACAATTATTAATTTAAATATTTCTAACAAAATTATGAAGTCAACTTGATACACACTTATAACTAATTGATCATCAATCAATCAATCAACAATTTGGAAAGAAATGATACCTTTGAGACCTTTAATTTTCTCTCTCATTCTCTGTCGACTACTATTTGTGATGAAAATTATGCTATTTATCAACAATCAACTTTCTAATTGCGAAAAATAAAGGGTCAAAATACATGGTGTTAATTACAATTAAACGAAAGCAAAAACAAAAGCAAATTCAACTGATTGATCAATTTAGGTTAATCTATTCATGTGATTGGTACTTGGAAATTTCTGATGTCTCCACAACAATTAACACGAATACAATTTTACTTCTGGTTTTAAGTGTTTTCTGTAAATTAGATGACGTAATCTTTAATTATCTTTGATCAGAGCAATCCAATGATGATGATTGTTTGATGACGATTGAGAAAAAAAAAGTTAATTTCAGTTCGGTTTATAATAATTGAAACTAATATTACAATCGATTTCTACTATTTACTACTAAATCAACACATTGATAGTACTTTAATCATCTAGTGCGTGTGAGTGTAAAATTAAAAGCTGATATTTAATCAAATTTTCATTTCATTAATCAACAACAAGTGACAATGTTTTTTTTTTCATTTCCTAGAAACAAAATCATTTGATTGTTGTCATAATCATGTTGATACACCTTTGGATCATGAATCAAATTAAATGATGACAGGGAGCAATCAAAGACCCACCGTAGTGATTAACTACCTAATGAGAAAAAGTAATACCAATGGACAGTTGACCCTTAAGATTTTAAATGTCCAACGAATGTCCAAAATTAATGTTGATTGTACTCAGTTGGAAATAGATTGTTGTAAAAGCAAAACTATTAACAGTTATTGCTCATGGACACTTCCGGTGACCTGTGGTGAATCAAGCCAAAAGTAAACAGAGATAAATCTGATTAGTGATTAATAATAATAATAAAGGGAAATGATAAAATTACAATGAGAAAAGTAAACAATCAATATAATTTGATTAGTGTTGATTTGAGATAACAAACAAAATATAAGATGATCAGATTAGGCTTTTTGGTAAATCAAGTTGAAGGTAAATTAAAACCAGGAACAGATTGTTAATCATTTTTTGGGTCCTCAATCAATTACCATCCTAGTTACAATCATAATCAACTAAATTGTTGCGATTAAAATTGATTATCAACAGGTAGACCAAAGGTAGAAGCAAAAATTAGACAGAGAGAAACAAAAAAAAGTCTCTAATCAATTGTAACTCTTTTTCCCTTATGAACACGAAAAAAGAGTCATAACTATTATAATTAACTCTCACTAATTAATTTGATTTACTCTCCGGAGAGTGTAACATTTAAAATCATTGCTTAATTGTGTGTCAATCATTTGTTTTAATTGCTCACCATTTTTTTTGTTTGTTTCAATAATTGAGTTTCTCTCACCTTTATTTTGATTGTTTTTCCTTTAATTTGATTGACAATTTAAATTAATCATCTTTCCAAAGTGAATTAACTGTTTTGATTATCTTAATTATCTTAATGATTGTGACCAGATAAAGGAGAAGACAGAAAATCGAAAGTAATTGAATTAATTTCTCTGTGTCATGTTGTTAATCCAGTTAATTGTGTTGATGATTAAATCGTCATTCATTTGATTGTTGTCCATCTTCAATGTGATTAGACACGTTGTTAACCTTTGGATACAACACTTAAGTTTAATTGGCTTATTTTAATTGTTGATTACCAATAACAATTCCGCATCATCAATACTCACATTTCGCATCTTAAATCATCATCATAATCATCATTTAAATTGTTGATCATTAATAATCAATTTTTTCCTCTCACCCAACAATTAAAGTGATGGATGAAAGTGTCACCATAAGTTCAAGTGATTCGGACTTTTTGAGCTCATCAATTGGAAGCCGTTCAGTTTCAATTGAAAGACCGGGAATTTGGGTTTGGCTGTCCGATCATATAAACAAACGGCGATTGACCAAAAAGGACATTAGTGACCTTACAAATGACCCTAAAGATGCTTCACCTGAGATTATCGGTCGATCATTGTTTTACCTGAGTTCATCATGGGATCCAATTGAAATGGTAAGAGATTAACAATCACCCACTCATACATATTGAACCCACACAATTGACCTTTCACCTCTTAATTTTCAATCCTAATTGATCATCTTAATCATAATCTGATCAATCAGTTTGATTGCTTATAATTGTTGACATTTTCACCTCAAAGACCTTGATTAATTAATCCTAATTGTTTGAATGGGCGTTTGTTGACAATCTACTAATTACCATAAATTAACATCATGTTGATGTATCATGTGCATTGTGACATTTGTAGTTAATTGTTATAATTAATCACTTGATAAACTAATTACTTAATTTAGTAATTTTCTGTTTAATGTTTTCAATTCAACAATCAACTAATCAAATTAGGTTACAATCAATACTTTTCAACATGGTTTAATGTGCTACAATATAAGAAATGATTAACGATCAATTGTATCTCTAATTTATGTTGAGAATTCCTGATTCTCGAATAAGTAATTTAATCAGATCACTTTTTTAGAGTGTTAATTGTTACAAATAAAAAAAAAGAGGAAAAAATGAAAATCTCTTAATTGTGACTGAGTTTTCGTACCTTCGAAAAACTCATGATCGTAATTACCAATCACAACTACGAATCTCCGGATTAAATGCTAATCCAGGGGCACAGCACCGATGATGAGCATAATTATTGGCATCGCAGTGGAAGAAGCAAGTTGTATTACCTGGATCGGGATAATGACCAATACCTTCAAAGCAAATTTCGGTGTTTGGTTTAACTGGTGCTGTTTAAATGTAAGAAAAGAAATGGACATTGGTCAGCGCAGTGATTGAGAATCGAAAGGGAAACTTTCGAAAAGACTTACGTTTAGATGATGTAAGTTCAACTCGAACAGAGTCACGATATTCTGGAAGATCTTCGTTTACATTTGTACAATTGACGTTCTTTGGGTCATCACATCCTTGGGTCGCTGGATTAAAGTAAAGGTCATTTTCACAGCAAAGTCGAGCTTGGAAAAAGGCTTGATTACACTTGTAGAAACATTTACAGCTCTTTGGATCGGCTTTGTAACTGTTACCCGCTGTCGATGAACACACTCGATCTGTAGCATTTGAAGCTGAATCTAAGTGGACAATAAACACATGGAATTGATAACGGAAAAGGAAATAGAATCAAGTTATATCAATATATACATTTATATATGTGTTTACATTGGAAGGATAAAATTTCAATTGAATATCAAGATTCATGAATAAATCACACAAATTGAATGGTGTTAATTTCCGCTTGGAATTTTGGATTATTGTTATACTTGGAAACACTGAATCTACTTGATTTTCATCCTGAAGCTATGAATAAGTTTTATTATCATGAGGAATTGATTGAAATAAGTTTACCTGATAAATTGATGAAACAAACAATCAACGAAGCAAGAAAAACAAGACAAATTGCCATAGGCTTTTGGGATATCATGTTGAAAGGAATTGCGATTTAGACTGTGTTTACAATTAACAAACTATTATTATGAACGTTGTTCTTGGTGATGATGATGATGATTAAAAGTAAGAGGACGATTGTGAATTGATGATGATTATCTTTTTTTTTCTAAGTTTTTTCTTCCTTCGATTACATCAAGTAAGGCGACTACTGTTTACCTGTTACGATTCAACGACTCACCCACTTTAACTTGATCAACATAAGATTATCAAACCTCCCTCATCATCATCATCATCATCATGATCGTCATCTTGTGATAATGGTGATGCTTAGACGGATTTAGGACATTATTTAAGAGTAAACTTGTTGGAAGATTAATATTTCGATAAGAAGAAGAAGAAGAAAAAAAGTTCAGAACTTGTTCACCTTGATCAGAATCGATGTTGAATACGACGTTGTCACCCACCATCTTCTTGATATTCATCATCACCATCACCTCCCTCATCTTCCTCCTCCCTCATCTCCACCTAAAAATGTTTATATTCTGGTTTTCTTATAAATCTCTCAACTCGTTTAATCGGTTTTCACATGATTATCATGATAACATGATGATAACACTTTTTAACGATTATCATTTATTCAGCATGAATGAACTTTTAGGCTTTCATTTCACTTTAATTATTCAGTGAAATCTTCTTGTGAGTCTTAGTTTGTCGGCGATTTAAATAGCGACTCATATAATGAATTTTCATGATTCGAAGCAAAAAATTCATTATCCAATAATTCACTAAATTAACTTTGATATACTTAATCAAAGAACAACAATTTAAGACCATTTAAAGGCTTGAGAAGCAAAAAAAAATACCATTAACCTTGTACCAATTGGAATCACCATGATCGTTAATTTTAGTACATTTAGTTATTTAATCACAACAATCTAATTGATAAACTTTTAATCTTCTTTGTATTAATTGTGTGTTCACCAAATTATGTCAATGATTTGTAATGATGTTAATCATTATCCAAAAGTATACTTCGATTTTTTCATCACATTAGAACATTTTCACTTCGTTCTTTGTCAACTTTAAGCACTTTCGATCATCATCTTCCTCTTCATCATTTAACTTTATCATCAATTTTTCCTCTTCTTGATTAATCACTAAAGCTGATTACGATTAATGTTATTGATTTTCTTCTTCCTTTATCATCATCATCATCCAGGAGACTGACCTGAAATCCGAAGCAAATGATGAACAATCTCCCGTTGAGTCAATATCGAATTGGCCTGGTTCGATCAATTCAAAGTCTACATCAAATGGTGAGGATGAAGATGTTAACTCAAATACGGAAATAATTGACCACAATGATGATCATCTTGAAGATGAATCTCACCATGATCAAATTGATGATTCAGACAAAATTTCATTGGGAATTAACGTGGACGAATCAAAAGTCAATCTAATCAGCCCAAACATCATCAACAGCAATAGTCGTCCATCGTCAAGGCCTGTTTCAATTCAGCGTCACTCGAAAAGGTCAAGTGGCAGTTCAGAGGGTTCAAAAGGTTTAAATGCTGAAGCAAATGCCGCTATTGAACAGGAACGATATGAAATGAGACGAAATCGACTTCTCCAAGAACTAATAACAACCGAAGAAGATTATGTCCGTCATTTGGCCTCCGTTATCAATGGATATATGAACCTGATGAAGAATGACAAACCTTATCCTGTTCCCGATGACCTGAGAGGTGGTAAGGCTCGTATTGTTTTCGGTAATATTGAAGCAATTTATGAATGGCATCGAGAGTAAGTATCGTTAATATCAATCTTATTATTAGTTCGTTGAAAGTGTTTATCATTGGATTTCAATGAATGTTGACCTAAAAAAAAGTCTGATAAAAAATTGAACGACAATCAAATGATTGTGACACTTTTTAAAAGGTCAATCATTATCCTCATCATCACCTTTTATCCATTGATTTATAGCAATTGAGGTTTATTTTCAGGTAGACAATCAAAAAATTGACTGACTTGTGACAACAACAATCAACAAGCAATTTATGAAAAACTTTCATGATAATAGATTGATTTCCGTTTTTACACCTTCTATTTGATTGTTGTTTAATTGTCATACATTTTGATTGACAATTAGAAATGATTAATCAACGTTCATTGAACCCTCACAATTAAAAGTGTTCATTAAAATGGATAACATTTAATTGTTAATAATAAAACCTAATCTCAAATCAAAGTGCAAAGACTAACACACATACACAGATTATTTGATGATCAATCAAAATTAAACTAATTTGTTAATCAATCGATACTAATTAATTATATTGATCTTTTTATTTTCAAACAATTAACAGTTATATGGTCAAGGAAATAAACAAATGCGTTTGTAAACAAGGACAATTAGGACCAGTATTTAAACGTTGGTTAAAAAAATTAAACATTTACGTTGTTTATTGTCAGAATAAAAATAAATCAGAATTCATTGTACAACAATATTTAAACAACTATTTTGAGGTAAGTTGTTGGTGACAACAATCAACTGATTATCATCGTAATGATATCATATGAATATATACATGTATATAAGAATCAGAATCAAGGAACCACCAGATGAAAATTGTTGATATTAATTTAGTTTTACAATTAGCTTTTTGCTGGTTAATTGTGATAATAAACCAATTGCTATGGTTTCCTTAATCTCCACAAGGTTAACCGGATAACAATCAATTAATGATAAGCAACACTTGATACATGAATTACTGAATCGGGTGTTTAATATGAATTTTTGGAAAATCCGTTCCAACGAATTAAGAATCAAGGCAAATCTTTAATCCATTTCCTTTTTTTTTGTAGAAGAAAAAAATTTTTTTTCCTTCGAAATTTGTTTACATTATATTTTCCTGATTGTAACGAATTATGATTGTTAATTAGTCTTTGATTGTATGTAATTAAAATTGTGTTTATTGTTTTTCTTTTAGGATCTGAGACTTCACCTTGGACATCAATTACGTTTACCTGATCTTTTAATCAAACCAATCCAACGGATTATGAAATATCAATTAATCTTATCCAATTTACTGAAATACACCCAACAGGCTGGTCTTGTTAATGAATTAAATGACCTACGGTCAGCATTACAATATATGCAAGCAGTTCCCAAGACAACAAATGATATGATGGCTCTAACTCGGCTTGCTGGTTATGAAGGGTCAATAATGGCTCAGGGTAATCTAATTAGCCAAGGAATACTTTTTGTAGGTCAACCATCATCAATATTATCAGCATCATCCTCATTCTCATCATTTTTACTTGAAACTGAATCGCCCAATAACAGTAACGATAATAATAATAATAATAACCACCTTGGAAACAAATTGTTACGATCAATCAGCTCAAATTCAACTTATTCGTATCAATTTAAGAAACGTTATGTCTTCTTGTTTGACAAGATGATTCTCATCTGTAAAATGCCCAAGGGTCATCATGCTTTCTCTGAATATATTTACAAGTTTCATCTTCCAATGAATAAAATATCAGCTCTTGAAAATTTCACCACATCACAGACCAAATTTCAGCTGACCATTGAAAATTATTCTATCAATGGTTTTATCGGAGGTCCAAATATCGTCTTTAAGGCAACAAGTATCGATGAAAAGGAAAAATGGACAACATGTATTCAGAAAATTCTTGACCGACAATCGTTTTTCATCAAAGCTCTAATTTCACCAATAGTTCATCAAAAATCAATTGGAACATGATAAAATCTCCATTAGCTATTGACCCCATCTTCATCTTTCTGGACAATCGTTTCTTTAGATTAAAGGTTAATCATGACAACAATTAAATCGTCAAACTTGTTAACCTTTAACACTTTTATAAATATTGTAAAACTTTTCTGTATAATATTTATTATCCGTTAATCTGATTAGTTGATTAACATTTAATAATCTTTTGCTCTCTATTATTGATATATTTTCTTGTATTAGTATTTGCATTAACTGTTGATTAACTAAGTTGAATTGACAATCAATCAATGTTATGTTTATCCAGTGAAACAAAATTAAACTTTTCCAATTGTTAAAAACATGTAAAGCTAATCATTGATTCAATTTATTATCCAATTCAATATTTGGTTTACTTTTTATTCATTAGTAAGGTGATTAAATATGATAACTTTTTTGATTGTTGTACTCTAGATAATTATGATTTACCAAATGATTTACCAATAACATACAATATTCTGAAATATTGATCACATTGATTATCGGGAAAACCAGAACGTAATTTAGTTCCTTTCCTTTTAATTATGTATCGATAAAGTTTATCCTCACTTGTACATGGTGTCCAAACATCATTTGGTGTTGGTTTACTGGTCAATTGGTCAAGAAAAGAAAACAGTAATCAAAGGGTTGATTAATTGAACAACATGGAGGTTAGTTGATTGAATACTTACCCATGTTTAATGAATTGTATCCATAGATTCATCATCTCTTTTGAAAAGGTAACATCATCTTGACTGTAATAATGATAATTGTTACTCCATCGAGTTGATTTTTTCGTGTTCATCAACGGGTAACCAAATATAAGGCCAATATCTGAGGTCGCCGATGATGTGTAATTATAATTACTTAGAGAGGTGAACATTTTATTCAATAATTCGTATCCAGTTGATGCTCGAAGTTCAAAATAATAAACAGATCGAGTCTCGTTTTGAATGAAACTTGTAATCTGAAAATAGGCTGGACATCTAATCGCAAGGTCAAGAGAAAGTGAATTTATCCTTTCAGCGAGGGTTAAAGGTGAAATTGATTGATGACCTTCCATAATTACTTGAGTAACTATCTCATAATAATGTTTTCCAATACTTTTAGGTCCAAAATTGGACAAACGATTGAGTAACATTCTTGATGTAACATCATCAGCGGCCGAGGTACTGTTAATAATGACATCAGATAATCCTGTTGGAGAAGATGGAAAATTAATTGATTACAATGACAATTAATTGTTGTAATTGTGATATTAATAGTTTCGTTTTTACCCAAATCTTTCATCCAAGAATCATAGTGTCCATTATAACCAATCATTAATTGTTTCTGTGAACCATAATCACCTGATTCAATTATCTCAAACGGATGAATTGGGAAAAATGATTCATCAGGAACTGGATAATAGCTGATAAACATTGACCGTGACAATTTACGGTCAATTGCAATTAACTGGGATGCTTTTAATCCTTTTAGACAATCAATTGCTTTTAAAGTAATTGCTGGTGGTGAAACTTTTAATTGTGACAATTTACTATCATCCAAATTATCACTATTCTCCTCGTAATCATCATCATCATCATCATCATCAGCATTACAACCTGTTGCATTGATCAAAGCCAGTGTTTTATTTAAACCACGTTCACGGCTCATAATCAAGGGTAAATTAAACGGGCTACCATTTAGCATAATGGCTCGAGTAAAATATGGCTGTGAATGGTTGGAGATGAGGTGAAATCCAACTGATTGAGAACCAGCAAAATCGCCGAAAAGTACAACCTTATCTGGATCACCGCCGAAATTTTTTATATTTTCATGGATCCATCGAAGTGCCAACGATTGATCATAGAGACCAAGGTTACCCTGTTTTATTGAGGGTGTCCCATTTATCTCATAGTAGATGAAACCAAATAAACCCAATCGATAGCTCACCGTGGCTACAATTATATTACCCTCTAGAGCCAACATTGATGGATCGTAATGATTAATTGATCCACTTACGAAACCACCGCCGTGAATGAAAACAAGTACTGATTTAGGTTCAATTTGATTAACTTTTTTACTTGATTTCGTCTCATGTGCAGATTTTGATTTTTCATTATTCTCTGATTCATTTAGAGGTACATAAAGGTTAATGTAAAGACAATCTTCACTTTGATGTAGTTTATCAGCTGATGAGATTAGTAGATTAGATGATGATGATAATGGAGCTGATGTTGGAAAAAATTTCGAGAAAAATGTTCGAAATGAACTTTTTCTCGTAGTGTTTATTGTCACTGGTGATGAGGAATCAAATAGAAATTGATAGCAAGATGGTGGCTTAGTTGTGGCCTTGTAAATACCTTTCCAAGGTAGAACGGGTTCAGGTCGAGTGAATCGACGGGAACCAATCGGTGGTCGAGCATAAGGAATACCTTGATAGATCGCTAATCGACGATTAGAACCTCGACTCTCGATAGAGCCCAAAACACGGCCTGAGGCGGTGTCAACGATAGGTGATAGGGTTACCTGGGGAAGGACAATTTGCCAAATTAATAAACTCAACAAAGTTACACTGATTAACCAAATTGTTATAATTAGAAACAGTTGATAAACATTTGAAGGTTTCAATGGAAACACTGATCTGAGAGTTGAATTATTATTGTTGTTAATTGTTGTTTGAGGTGATGTATTTAACTCTTGGTTACGATTATTGTTAATTGTTGGTGAACGATTAAAATCATAATAAGGATGAAGATAATTACTGTCAAAGTATTGGTCATCATGAGAGTTCATGATTCAATTTTACTTGATTAAGATTCAAAAATTGGGTGAAACAAAAAATTATTGGTAACAATTAACAAACTCAGTTCTACATTGGATATTAATTGTTTTCAATTAACTTTCATTTCTCATTCACCTATTTTCCTGTGTGTCAATATTAATTTCAAATGATTTAATTGTTTACTTTGTAATATTCATCATCCAATTCAATCAATCAATTTAATACAAATACAGATTGACCAAAAAATCAAATAAATTGAAATTATATTGATATATCTTTGTGATCAATTGATCATATTATCATTAAATTAACTTTAAATTGTCTTGTAATCGAAATTAATTTTTCTCTAATTTTGATTGCTACAATGATAGGTGTCTATTTCCGTATATAAAATCATTTGATCATCTTTTTAATCTTAAATTGTTGTAAATAATATGATTAACATTTCGTGAATACTGTTATATCATTAAAGAAGAGGCAAAAAAATCAAATCAAATTGAATTAAGGATCAACATAAACAAGTCATTCAACTTAATCATGTTTTCTCAATATACTGATTATTTCATTTCCTGAACTTTTTTTTCATAACAATTTAACTCTTTGCTAATGATTAACTATTAATATATATTATCGTCATGATTAGGACATTAAGAATCTAATATTTTCTTGTGTTTTTTTTTCACTTGATTGTCAATCAAATTGAACCAGAAATTGAAAAAAACAAATTTCTATGAAAACAAATGTAAACAATTAACCGTAACAATTAAGTTGAATAAAAATTATTCTGGACTATTGAATATTAATGTAGTTTAAATTATCAATACAATCTCATGATCATTAATCAAACTCTGTAAATGATAATAATAACAACAATTTAATGATAATTAAAATATGAAGCAAAAGATATTGTCAATTAATAGTAGTCAACAAATGACAATTTGATTTTCAATTTATTAACAATTAACTAATTACAGGAAGAGGTAAAGAGTATGTATAACCGTTGAAGGAAAAATTCATTTTTATTATTATTATAATCACTTGGTGAACAATTTAATTGATACAAAATGTTGAAGATGATTAAGTTGTGTAATTATAATGATCTTTCATGGATGTAAATATCATCTTCCGATAGTTAATTGTAACAATTTAACCATAACAAATAGTAGAGGGAAAGAAAAGGAAAGAAACCCAAAAGTTTCAAGTATTATCAATGTCGATACCTTGAGTTTGCCTAACTAACTGAGACGATTAACAGGTAAATCTAAGAATGGATAATAAAAGGCTTACCTATCCTTGTGAGAATACATGAAAATATATATGAGATTAAACTAGAACAACAATAAATACGAAAGAAATGCGAAACTTAATTCAACCCAGACGAACGAAACGAAAATCAAAGCTAACGAACCTACGAAGTTGAAACGAAACGAAAATAAGATAAAGAAAAAGAGAGAAAAAAAAAGATTTTATTTTCCATTTTTAACCAACTAAAATAATATTTCTCGACTTTTATCCTGTCTCTCTCTCTCTCTCTTACTTTTGTCGAGGTGTGAAACCGAAACACCGAAGGTCAATATATCGATAGACTTGGTTACCTAAAAGACCATATTGTTAACATTATTTCACGATTCAGTTATATTGGTTCTTAAATTGTTCTAATGTTGATTCGATGTTGTTTTTCGGAGGACACTTATATGTTTTGTTGACTGCCCACAAAACAAAAATGATTATAATAAAGGATAAGGAATAATAATGATATTAATTGTTGTTTAGGTTAATCGTTGTCGTTAAGATTTGCGACTTAATCAATAAGTCAAGTCAACTCCAAATCCGGGGTTGGACTATGGCACTTTCGTGTCGAGAGCTACAAGGAGGAGAGAGAGAGAGAGAAAAGCAAAGTGAGTAAAACTCGTATATATAAACTGTCCAGAGGTTTGGAATTAGTATCACAATCAACTGATTACAATAACAACAACAACAACAATTAACAACAAGATTAATAAGTTTCTTTAAAAATTAACATTAGAAAATAAAGTTTTTCCTATTGAAAAAGTTTTCGTGGATATCTTAAAGTTTGCCAATACTTCACAACAATCAAAATGGTAATTTTGTTTTCTCCCATTGATTTAATTTAGTTGATTAGTGTTAATCCATCAAGAGGATTTTAATCCATTAGTTTAATCAATTGTGTCTTTGGATTTATTTTTTAAAATTTGTTTCTTTTATTCTTACAGATGATCTACAGTTATCTCGCTTTCTTCCTTCTCATCTCAAGCCAAATGTTAGTCTCATCCGCCGAAGAGGAATACGCCATTGAAGAGACTGACAGCGAGTTCGATGATGGTCAAACCGATATTGCTTATGTCCGAGAGAGACGAGACTTAGCCGCCGCTGAATCAGGTATCGGTGGTACTGGTGCTGGTGCTGGTGCTGGATACAAAGCAGGAAAGGTAAATAAACATTAGTTCAACTTTTTCGCTTTCCTCTCGTTTCCTGTAATCAAAATAGTTAATTAGCTGAACGGAAAAGCGTTTAAAAGTCGTAACTAGTTCAAGGTTAAAAAGTTATTCGGACTTGATAACTTTACTCGACTTAAATTTATTCTTAATAATTAATATTCATTTTTTTGTTGTCTTGATTATAACATAATAGAAGGGTGGAGCTGCTGCTGGATTCAAAGCTGGTGGTAAAGGAGCTGCAGCTTTCAAGGCTGGTAAAGCCGGAAAGAAAGGAGGTAAATAAAAGTGATAAAATCATTCTTTCGATTGATATTAGAACTTGATCTTTAATTTTTTCGTTTGTATGGGTGATCTTAGGTGCTGCCTATGGTGCTGCAGGAGCTGCTGGTGCAAAGGGAGGTAAAAAGGCCGCCAAATTCGGTGCCGCTGGTGCTTATGGTAAGAAATTCGGTAAGAAAGGTGGCTTCGTAAAGAAGGGAGGTGCTGGTTACAACAAGAAGTTCGGTGCTATCAAAACTTTCGGAATGGCCCAAGGATTCAAATTCGGTAAAGCCGCTGGTTATGGTGCTGCTGGTGGTGCTGCTGGAGCCGCTGGTAAGAAAGGTGGATTTGCAGGAGCAGCTGGTGCAGCTGGATACAAGGGAGGCAAGAAAGGTAAGTGGGAATCGATGAAAGTACAAAAGTATGAACATTTCAACGATCAACTAATCAAACCCTTTGTTCATCCAAAGGTGGAGCAACTGCTGGAGCTGCAGGAGCTGCAGGAAAAGCCGGAGGATATGCTGCCGCTGCAGGAAAAGCTGGCGCAGCTGCTAAAGCTGGAGCCGCCGCCGCCGCTGGTGGTGTTGGTAAAAAGGGCGCTGGAGCTGGTCTCATTGGTTAAACTAATGGTGCCATTTACTAAATCAAGTCAACCTCATCAATTACACTCAGAGAAACTTTTAATTCAAATTTTTACTTTTTTTACCTTTCACCTTAATCGTTTTATTTTTGTTTACTTTTGATCTTTTTTTCCTGATATCTGATTATTTGCTCAAGAAATAATAACAGAATCAAACAATTAACTTTTTTGTTTAAAATTCAAACGAAAACAATACAATTGATTTTGTTAAAAATTAGCCAATTTTATAAGTAATTAGATCTAATTGTTAATAGTATAGAATCCATTTGATCAGCAGAAACTTACAGAAAACAATCAGTTTAATCAACAAGTCACCTTAACTTTCCTTCAATATCTCACTGAATGTAAATCAAAATTGTAATCATTAGGCTTTTAATTGTTAGAAATGTAAAAAAGACACCAATTGTTAATTGTTAACCTATTCCTTTACCTTTCACCTTAATTGCAATCATGAAAAAATAAAATTGTTTATAGTTTTACAACTAATATAATCCAATTGTTACTTGAAACTTATTGTTATCCATTGATAACCAATGATACAGAAATTTTTGATCCAAAAACAAATTTGATTGTAGTTTTGATTGAAAATGAAATAAATTGTTACAATTAACTAATTGTTTTCAATAGTTTTAATTGTTGTTAAAGTTGGAAGACAAAGAAACCACACCGTTGGTACAAATTGAACAGTTAATTATTACAAAGATTGGGGACAGAATTACAGTTTGATTAATAAATTACTAATTTGATTGTTGTTTTTTTTATAAATAATGATGATGATGATAATGAGATTGTTAATGATGATGATTAATTAAAGAAACAAAAACATCTTCAACCAATTAAAACTGATTATCACGTAATTTTAACTAATTACAAGGACAGAAATTAAGTTAATTGTTTGGACGGTAAAAGACAATAGGGAAAAAATTGATAATATCAAGTTAATCATATGAAAAACAATAGGAGAAAGTAAATCTCAAAGTAATTATTAGAGATAAATTAACTAATCATTGTGAATTAAATTAATATTGATATTGATCAATAATTTAATTTACATTTAACTTAATTGTTATTGTTATTGTTACTATACTTTCCTTGGTGTATTTTAATTGTAAGTACATATTGATTGTTTGAAATAACATCAAGGTTTACCTGAACAATCAAAAAGACAAGATAAATTGTTTTTCATACAATTAACTTGATTTCATCATTTTAAACTGATTAGATTATTGGATTAATGAGTAAATGATCATTAATCTGGAAAACAAATTGTTACCTGTGTTTGTTTGTGTTGAGTAAAACAGGTAAACAATATTTTCTAGATAAAAGAGAGACTTAATGATCAATGGAAATTAATTATAAATAATTGATTAAATTATTTTGCTGGGAAATTGATGATGAGAATTGAAAAGTGAAAATTTCATCAATTAAAATTAATCTATGGGAGGATTAAAGGTAATTGGTGAGTGTATGAGCTTTAGATTGTTAAATTGTGTAAAAATATCCATAGGAATTGATTTGATAAAATAATCAATCAGATTGTTGTTGATTGTTTTTCCTCCTCAGGGTGGATTGAAAATATCTCTTTCTCTAGGTGTATGAGTCTAAATAAAGTAAACAATCAGCTGTTCACAGCAGTCGATTTTTTGTTTGTTTTGAAAACAGGAAGTTGACGGTGGGTTTCACGTTGAGTGTGTTTACATGTGTGTTGACCTTCCAGGTAGAAAATAATAAGAGACAATGTTGATTTATGGGTGGAGAGGGAACCATAACCACTTCGGGCGGTGGAAGATGAGGGAGAGAGGTTCCAATATTTTCCTTTGCATAATTTTCCCTTTCAACGTCAATCATCAAACGTTAAGGTTGATTGAATTGAATACTAATTAACCAAGAAGTGAAGAGAGAGAGAAATCAACAATTAAGAAACTCAAGTTCAGTGAATGTGCGTATAACTTTTACTCTTGCGAAAAGTTTATAATAACGTTAATCACGAGACTAGAGTTCTGGTGCCTCATAGGTATTTGTCAATTCCAATTAAAGGTGAATGTTGATTATTAGTTAATGGTTGGAGATGTTGATTATGTTTAAATTGTGTTGATACAGAATAAAATTAAAGGTGGGTTCATTTGGTATGGCACCAGAGACGCCGGAAGAACTGGTGAAGAGTTACTTCTGTGTTTTTGTTTCTATTCAATGAGAAAGAGATGATGGTTTAGTTATGGTCATTTGGAATATGATTTTCATTAGCGGTGGAATCATCGTCCGAATCCATTTATGGACCTTAAAGGTGAAGGGATTATGAATAAGTTATTCAATAAGAAGAAGAAGAAGAAGAGAATTAAAGTTTTTTTTCTCTTATATTAAGGTGAAAATATCGGCAAATATTTTTCTTTATCTTTGAAAATAAAGTTATTGATTGTGCTGATTTGGAGCCTTCATATGTTATGATGGGTGTAAATGTGTATGGATTTTAATTGTTGCTGTAATCTATTTTTGATTGATGATTAACTTAACGGGAGACATTCCAATACGCAGGTTAATCTGAGATGATGATGATCGGTGGATAACTTGATCCCTTTTCTTTAAAGTGGATTATCCTCACAAGAAAAGTAACATCAAGTGATTGTCGGTAGAAAACGTACCTTAATTAATTGGTGGTTTGGGAGATAAATAAGTTATGATGAGAATGATGAAAGTTAAAAGGGAGATAGATAGAGGGTGATGCGGAAAGAGAGAGAGAGAGAGAGAGAGAGAGATTCATTGGAAGATGGTGAGAGTTAATTTTAAAGAGTAATTGGCAAGAATCATCTTGAAATGGTCCTAAGAACTTTGATCTGATTAAAAATTCGTTGATTAATTTTTTTAGTTAACAATCTAATCATTTTAATCATATCGACAGCCCATTGTTGAGTAACGTAAATTTGAAGCTGTATCACTGGTTTTACCCGGTAAACTACCGGCTGGACCTCCGTATGAGTATATGTAGGATGGACTTTGAAGGTTTGATGATCGACGTTTATTATCACAGATATTTGATGATGAAAATGATGCAGTTGATGAAGAAGATGATGAATTATATACTGAATTCATTTTACGCTGCCAACAACAAGCCCAAACAATTAACATGATTAATTGTGCAACCAGGAAAAGTCCACATGCAATCGTAAAACCAGCCATGTTTATACAAGAACCAGTGAAAACATTTCGAACTGGTTCACTTCCGTCTTCACCTCGGGAATTATAAATGAAATAATCAGTTGGGTTAGAACCTTCTGAACCCATATCACCACCCAATGGACCCAAAACATTTCTATTCTTATTATTTCCTGGTTTTCTTTTACCTTCCAATTCAAATACATCAGTAATTTTAATTGATTGGGTCATAAGAAGATCCTTCTCTTCATCAGTTTTACCGCCGATAGCTGATCGTCGTCTTCGTCGTCGTTTACCATATGAATCACGTTCTTGTACTTTACCGTCAGCTGTTTGAGATACACATGAAACGGGCTCACAGCCAGTTAAACAGGGTGTAACTAAAGCACGGAATTGAACAATATCAGAGGTTGGAAATTTGAAAGCATCAAAAGGCACTTCAAGATAATAGGCACCATCAGAATCTACTTTGGTCACAAATCCCATAATATTTATATCAACTGGACAACCAGCTCCATCAATCAACAAGATATCAGAAACATCTTGACCATCGACGGCAACTAATTCACGGATGAACATCTTATAAGGACCTAAGAAAGTGAATCAAAAAACATCATATCATTAGAAATTTTCTTAGATCAAAGTTCTGACCATTTTTCGATTTGATTGTTCGGTCAACTTACTTGAAGGTTCGTCGATAGAAAATCTCATGGTCAATGAATCTCCAACTTGAGCACTTGTTATATCATTTCCATCTTTATCAACAATTCGCATGGTAATATTAGGCGATCCAACAACTTGTGAATGGACATTGGCTTCATCGCGTTCAAGTTCATCACTGAAATCGAAAGAAGTAAAAAAAGATGAACAATTAATTCAAATGGTTTTGTAGTTAGAAATGTCAAATCTAAAATCTAGCAAGAAATTGATCGTAAACAAATGAGCAAATTTTTTTTTCCCAGAAAATGAAATTATTATTATTATTATCATTGAGGATTAAAGGTATTGAACAGGTAAGAAGGCAATACTAACGCTCCAATAGAGATGGGCGATTGATTGGTGACACTTTTATTGGACAGATCGTAGTTACAGTTGACTGATAGACCCATGTCCTTGGTGGTTACCACCATATCATGATGTTGAATGACAATGTCATTGGCAAAGGTTCCGGCTTCCTTTTGCTTAACATCACACAGTATATCATGATAAGGCATAGTTAGATCAAAATCAAGTTGATTAGTTACATCGTTGACACAGGCCGTTGGCTTTGCCTTAGCGTAAACCTTTCCATTAAATAATTTGGTTGTTTGAATCGATGCAATCATTTCCTTGGCTCGACAGTCAATTTTCACTGTTGGTAAATCAAAGTAATCAATTCATCATCCCCGAAACCAAATTCACATAGGTAACACATAATATTTATTGGTTGATCCAAATTGTTGTTGTTTGAAAGATTCAAGGGATCAAAAGAAAACAAAAAAAAATTCATTTAGATAATGATTAATGATTATCTGCGGTAATTAATTAAGATGTTAAGCTAATCAGTGATAAAGAGGGAAAATTGTAACATGAATAGAAAGTGTAATTGAAATACACAATAGAAACAAAAAAAACAATCAGATTGGCCTGAAAATTGAATTGAACCATGGTTAGAATAGTTTATACGTTTCACTGATTGTTGTTGGTTTACTTAATTGTTGATTTTCATTGAACATCAGCTGAAAAACTGACATGATGAAAAAAATCAAGAGAGAGAGAGAGAGAGAGATTGGGAAATGATTATAACTTAATTGCAATTAATTAGTCTGATTGTTTTTTATCACTTCTAATGACTTAATTGAAAGGTGAAAATTTAAATCAATACTATTTAAATAAACTGTCAATGAACTTAAACAATTAAACATTGATTAGAAAAAGTCATTGACAATTTTATCAGTGTAATTATATTGAAGTCAAATTTTACACTAGGGTTAGGGTTTTGTTTTGAAGTTAATTGTGCTCAGTCAACTGATTATTGTCAAAAAATTACAACATTTAATAAGGTAAGATAACAATGTAACCAATGGTATTATTATTGAATAATAATTAACCATCGAAAGTGAATTACCTTCTCATCTTAAAGAGTAATTATGATTGATTATAACCGAGAGAGAGAGAGAGAAGAGATAATTAACAAAAGGGTAATAATATCAAAGGGTTAAATGGTTGATATTATTTTAGGAGTTTAATTGTTCTTACATTTGTAACATGGTCCTCGCTCATAGGTAATTGCATCAGGTACCTCTGAATGTGGTTCCTCGATATGAGTTAATGAGACAGATTCTAAATGACTGGTTCGACAAACTCGACCATTCTTAGGTTCGCCCATGTCGTATGAGAAACAACGGTAAACGGCATTGAGACAAACCTTTTCACACTCTTCGGTTGTGTTGACATTTGGGTGAATGGAATCAACGGTTTTCAACACTTTACCTTTAACCTCTTGAAAGGAACACATTGTTTTGGGTTCTGTAAGTGAAAGAAAAAAAAATGATATTAGTTAATTTGTATAATCAATTAGAACAATTAAAAGTTAAACAAGTAATGCGAAACAAGATGAGACATAGAAACAAGATTGTTAACTCATTGATTTGAATGAATTGGAAAACTAGAGATTGAATCATTTGAATTTGATTTAAATCAGAAGCACTTAATTGGTTCCCAGGTAATTTTCTGATATTCAGTGAAAACGCTGAATAGTAATAACAATTGACCTGAATTACCTGATGATGTCTTTTTTTTTCTTGACAACATCATCAACACAACCACTTCCTCATTATTATCGGGAATGTATATATTTTTTTCACCATGGGAATCAGGTAATTGAAAAGGGAATTTGATAAAATTGTGTTTTCGCCATCAATGAGTAATTTCATCACAATTTGCTGATCCTTCATGTAATATCATGATAATCTTTCAGTAGTAGTGGTCATCATTATGTATTTGTCATCACCCTTTAAATAATATTATCCTCTTATTATGTTACCAATTGAATCACAATGCAATTACTTATCATCATCATCATAATGAGTTTAGTAAACATAAAATTAGTTTTTGATTGTTCAAGTGTTGACATCAGATTAAGGGGTTGATAAATCAACACACACACACAGACAATTCAACAGGTTAACAAGGGGATTTTGTGACAATCTTTTTCCTCTTTTGATGATCAGATAATTTAAATTAAATTGTAAACCAAGAATTACAATTTAATCATAACTTTTTTTTTGCACGACCAAAGCAATAATGGTCATTGGAAACATGAATATACATAAATGAACATCCTGAATGTAGATGATGATGATGATGGTGATGATGTATTAATAACAGTAATGATGGCGATATAAGAACAAAATTATATCATGAAATTTTCAACAGCAAGAAGGAAGAAGATCCAATCAAATTTTTTCTTCTTCTTCTTCAATCTCAAACCTAATGATCGCGGGAAAATTTTGCTTGACTAACTGTGTTCAACAAGTGAGATTACATTAATTTCTTTTTCTTCTTCAAATACATAATGATGATGATGGTGATGATGGAAACTGGATAATGTATTTACACCGTGATCACAGAGGTGGTACAATTAAAATCGTTTATAACAAGAGAGGCGGAGAAGAGGTTACAAGCTCCATAAAGGTGAAACAATTGATAACGGATTCTAACATCATGTTGAATCATTTGAGAGAAGAAAATTATTCAGGTTCAAATTGAGAATTCTGAATGAAATCAACGTAATTAAAGTCATTTAATTTAGAAAGAAAAACGGTCAAGTGAATTAAGAAAAAACAGAATTAAAATGGAAGCAATTAATTCAACATATGATGAAGAGAAGGGTTGGTTAATTAATTTAAAAGAGAAAAGAACAAATTTTTTCTTCTTTTTCTGGATCAGGAGATTTTCCCTTAACCATTTTGATTCTGTTTTCGTTTAAACTTGTCAACGGATTAATTAACTTTTTCTTTAATTACTTTTAACTGTTTTTTTTTCTATCATTAACTAGAAGATTAATTATAATTGTGAATCTGTGTGTTGACAATTAAAAGAAGTAAAAATTAATCATTAATCTCTCTTTTGTTTTCTCTCAGTTATGGTAAGTTGATTTATTTTTTATTCTCTTTTTTTTTGTCTTCTTCTAATTATTACTCATCTTTTCCCATCATGGCGGTTAACAGTTTTAACCTTTTCTTTTATTTTTCTGTTGTTTTATTCTCATTGGAAAATTTTATATTGATTAATTGCTGTTTAATTGGTCAATTAAAATTCTAAATTTACTTGTTCTCTTCATTCTCTTACTAATTAATTGTTTCTATGCATCAACAGGTATTTACAAGGGAAAGTAATCAGGAGACAATGACTTTCAACACTTGGTTTACTTTCTCCTTTTTTCTGTTTATAGGATTTGGTGGCTGATTTTTTATTCTTGTCGGACATCATCACATATTCTTGGTTAATTATAACTATCGTGGTTAACGACTCAATTTGGTAATCAAAGGGACAAAGTGTTAGCTTTTCTGTTTCTGATTGGGGCCTCTTAAGGAGATTCTAACCTGAGGACATTGATTGTGATAGAAACGGTGATTTTTTATTACGTAACGTGTTGTTATTGTTAATAGAAAGTGAATCTGTTTTTTTGTTTTTCATTCCATGGGAGGTCTTGTTTCAACATTCTCATCACCACCCATGAAAGAAAACCATATAATAGTAGTGATAATAATAATAATTCAGTGAAGTTGTTTCATATTGATTTATTATTAGTATAAACTATTGTTATGTTATTGTAGTTTTATCAACATGAAGTTTTTTAAAGGAAAAAAGGAAAAGAGAGAGAGAAAGACAAAAGGTAAAAGATGAAGATGAAGATGAAGATGAAGATGAAAAGTGTAACCTGATGATAAGTACAAAAGGAATCATTTTAAAGAAATTATTTCAAGAAAGTTCTTTCTTAATAATAATCTTTAAAGATTAACATTAAGGCCTAAAACTGACACTGAAAAGAGAGAGAGAGAGATTAAGAATATCAGATAAGTTAATAATGATATGTAAAATTACGGAAATGGATACGTAAAAATGATCTGATCATTTGTTAGATGAAAAAAAGAATAAGAAAAAAACAAAATGTTATAACCGTTAAGTGGCTTTTGACCTTACCTATCCAATTCATTGTATTTTCATGATAATCATCATTCTATCATCTCTCAAATCTCAGATCTCCTTCACCTTAATCCTTTCCATCAGTATACAATGTCAAATAAAACTAATCACCAACTATCTGTTTTTTTTTCTTGTAGTTCAATTGATCTGGAAATCGTGATTTGGAAAGACCATCATCATCTTACAAATTACCTTTTGGCCTCCCCATGTTGTTTTCATATCACTTTGATCAACTACTTGTTAATCCATCAATATCACCATCATCATTATAATCATCCGAGTTATCATGATCATGATAATCATCTGAGTGTCCGAAAAGTTTTCTCTCTCATCTATTATAATAACAGTTATATGATGATGATGATGATGATGATGATGATGCTGATGATGGGATAAACACAGGAAGTGATAATATGTTGATACAAGCATTGAAAATTATAATAATCAACATGATTATCAACTTGTCATGTTATCAATAGATTTTCATTGTTCTTACATGACAAAAATTCTTATTTTCATTTATATATTACATGTTGACCATTGATATAAAAGTCCATTGTATCTTCTCATGGGAAGTTATAATGTGTGTAGTATTTTCCCTGAATTATCATGAAATAGATTAATTTGGTATTACACTCATGTAAAAAATTAATCAAATTTCATGATTATACCTCAGTGATAGATTGATAGGAAAAATATTTATTCCAATCAATGTAATAGTTGAATTAATTTTGATTGTAACTTAGCAGTTGATCAACGTCAATGAACATCGTTTATTTATTTATTTATTTTTAAATTGATTAAGATGAATGAGTTATTTCATTAACTTTGAATTGTTATTTCAATTTAAAATCAAATAATATTATATCCTCATTAATATGATCGTGATATGATTTAGTTTATTGTTAATATAATAATATTATTAATATAAAATTAACTAAATCATTTGAATAATTGATTTCTATTCACTAACAATATCATTAATTTAATCAAGAAGCTAAATTAGAGGAAAGATGATCAACAATAAGATGATGATGAAGATGAAAATAGCCTGAGGATTGTTTTCTCTTCATTATTTACCAAAGGAATTTGATATTTACATGATAAAAAAAGGTAAACAATCAAGACCAATAGAAAAGATGATTAATCAGAAAGTCCAATGAACTTGATTAATTCATTTCTTTTTCCATGAAAAGGTAATATTAATAGTTAATAAATAGAAATTGAAAGAATAGGTAAGTTAGTGATTAATTTTGAATAGTTAATTGAATGATTTGATGATTTAAATACAATTTCATGTCTACAGATTAACGGATGGATTAACTTTTCAATTTTTCTTCAAATTGATTCTCTCTTTCTCTGATTTCTCTTCAGATTCCCTGAGGAGGTCAGAGGTTACATGTATAATCTTTCATGTCTGGTTATCTATGGAATCAAATTTAATGGATTTATTCAATTATTTGGTGTTTCAATTTCAATCTCTATGTGTGTCCATCAAGAAACAACAAGGATAATTTAATCATCCACCTCAGGATACGAGATTCTGCTTTTCTCTAACATAATTTAATAAATTGGTAAGAAGATTATGTTATTTATTTAACGAAAATTGGAAAAGTAAAATTGTCTAATTTAATTTGTTTATGATAGATGATTAATTGTCTGGAATTTGTTTCGCAAAAATCTTGATTCATGATTAACTTTTGATGATTATTAATAATAATTTGTTTTTCTCGTAATTCTCTTACCTTCAATACAATTTGATTCATAATAGGCAACAGTTGATGGTGATATAAGTGATGGTGCAAACTCTTTACGTGGTGGTTTCGTTGGAATAGCGTGTCTATCAATATCGGATAATGAACAATCACCTGTTGTATTATCGTAATTAACTGATCGACATTTAAATGATGTTTCAAGGAGACAAGATTCAAGACATTCAACTTTGCTGGTTCCATTAAGACGTTTCCTTTCATATTTACGAAGCTCATAACCATTTACCTTTTCAAAGGACCATGAAGATGAACATAATTTACCTTCAATTCCTGTATAAAGATGACATGAAAGAGAAAAGGAAAGGAGAAAATCAAACATTAGAACAATTAACAAGAAAATAACAGTTTAATTAGCAACAATTTATATCATTTACACTGAATTAGTAGCATTGCAATTTCTTGGTGATAAAATTAAGTTGTAATATATGTTTACTTTGTTGTTACATTTGAGTAACAACAATTTTAAAACAACTTACATAATTGTTTCATTGAAAAGGTTTGTTTTTTTTTAATTATGATGAGCTTTCATAATTAACAATTAATTGCATCATTTTATTATCATAACTTTTTGTTAACTTTTGTTAAATTGTGTTTACACCTTGTTAATAATATAAATGTAATCATGTTTATTGTTGTTGAAAGTTTTACCTGTTGATCATATTGTCTGGATCTTATATTAATAGTAAATCAGAGCTGAACCGTATCTGATGATTGGTTTTGATTGTTGTTGATAAGTTTTATTGGATAAGTTAAAATCTAATTTCTTGTATATAACATTTATATATATATCAAATTAACTAATCAACACTATCTTTTTTTTTATATTTCCAGGATGCGGAAGAAAAAGACAACAACAATCAACAAATTTTGGTGATGATGATGATATTATCAGATGAACTGAAGCCAAACCTTAAACCAGAAAAGGATCAACATTGAAACAAAACAAAATCTAATCTAATGATGTTTATGATTAACCTGTTATTAAAATTTAATTATTTCATTTTATTGAGAATCATCATCATCATCAACAGGTCAGATTGTATCATCAGAATTGACCATGAAATCTAATTGGCAATATTGGGTCAGAGAAGTAAAATTCAAAGTCAACTATTAAAACTAATTCAGTTTAAATTTTTTCTTTTGATTGATCGTATAGAGAAAAACAAAAATACATGGTACAGAATCTACTCATCTACTGAATATATATGGAATCTGAATTGATGATACCAACGATAATGGTGAAAATATTGATGCTATTAGTTAACTTGTTGTAAATAGTATCATTAAAGGTAATCAATAATATTAATGATATTGAAGGAAAATTTTCTGGTCTCTTGATTGTTAATCTTGAAGATGAAGAAGAAGAAAAAAATTGTAACAATAACCAGGTTACTACTGTAACAATTTAGATTGATGATTAACAATTTAATTTGTATTAAATTGAGTTTCAATTTCTCTCAATGTATTTACAATTTAAATGTTAATTGTCTGAACTTTTCTTTGACTTTATATAAGATGAAACTAATTATTGCTCCTACTAATTGGATTGTTAATTTTTTTTCTCTCAAAAGTAAATAATCACTTTGATAATTTGATTAACTGATTATCGGTGTATCAATGAAAGTGAGATTGAGTTACATTTGCCTGGAGGGTTTAATTTAATTCAGAAAATATTGATGATAAAACTTGTGAATTGATTCATTTTGATCAATTCTCATTGATGATTATGGTAAATGAGATGAATACTTATCAACATCATCGATTCATACTCATGGTAATTCAATCATATTGATGAATTGTCATTAACTTTTCGATAACAATAAACTAATCATTAATATTTTATTATTTTCCATTACAGTTTAAATGATTATTATCATCATCATGGTGATAATACAATTTAAAGGATCAAATGAAACTCAGATCATACTGAACGGAATCAGATCAAAGTGTTGCTGACAAATTGAATGTAAAAAATTAACAAATCAACACGAAATTGACCTAACCCTTGATCAACAATTGAATTTATAAGTATCAGGTATTTAAATATTAATACATTATTATTTAGCCAATCAATTAATATGAGTTAATTTTTTAACTCCAAAAACGTTATAACGTTTATGAAATAAAAAAAATGGCTGATTGTTAATTATGGGACAACGTTAATTGTAATGAAATATTAGCTATTATAATTGATGAATGAACGTGAAAGTGTCAATGGACAAAAGATTAATGTTGTTATTTAGTTGTTGTTAATGATGATGATGTTAATCTTAATCATCACGTCAGTGATTTTTAAATGTTAACAATCAACAGGTAAGAAATTAGAATCTCTCTCACTGTGTGTATGTGTTATCATCACCTTTAAGTTAATCTACTTTTTTTTTTACTCTTTTCTTTTCTTAATAGTTGATTTAATAGTGTAAAAACCTTCATCTTAGCCCATCATCGTCATTATCTTCATCATCAACATCATTATCATCCAAGAGTTTTTAATGACAATTCCAATGAATATGAATAGTAAAACACAACAAGACCATGAAAGGCTGACGATGGTGGTGGTGGTGACAATGGTGGGACACACACACTCACACTCACTGGGTGTTGATGATGATGAAGAAAAAGTTTCATCTGAAACATGGTAATCAAAGTGATTCCTTAATGATGTTTCTCACTACAATTTAAAATTGAAAGGTAGGTAACCCGTAGGAAAATGATTATGTACAAAGGTAATCTAAGGTTAGATTTACCTGTGCATGATACATGGACCTAGTAATTTAGTTAACAATGAAAATTAGACCAAACAATTTGGTTTGGAAAAAAAAAGTTTCACTCAAGACAATGAATCTAACAATGATATTTGAAACTCATGATGGTAACGATTATTACTACAACTATTATAATGTTGATGATGATTTAATTTCTAGCAAATGGTCATTTAAGATCAGGACCAGGTCATTGAAACTTTTATCTCTCTCTCTCTCTCTCTCTCTCTCTCTCAATGAAATTCAGTTTCAACTCTTATTCCTATTTTTATTATTACTATTATCATGTATCAGTAATCAATGGGTTCTTGATAAATGATGTAACATATTGATTATCATGATGAGAATCTCCCTCTGGCTAAATTGTTACAAATTGTTCATGATCATCAACAATGTTATTGTTATTCAATGTTAATGATATTGTTTATGTAACTATTGCAATGGAAAAAAAAATTGAGAGTAACAATTTAAATGATAATCATTTGTAAATCATCAAACCATTGAGATGACAATCAAAGGTAAGTTTTAATCGTTTTCAATGGCACCGTGATTTTTTTTTTCATTGTTAATCATGATGATGATGATGATGATTATCAAGAGATAATAATTCAAAGTAACTGAAAAAAATACAAGATTCACTTATTTTTTTAATACACTTTTCTAATCACAGGTAATATCTGAACAATACTGATGATTTTCAAGGTATCATGATGATGGGACGTTTTTCATTTCTACCAAATTGATGATGGAAATTCAAGTTTACTCATCATGTTATCATGATGATTAATTGTGACATTTGAATTGCGAGCATCTCTGAATTTGAAATGATTCTAATGAATTTCAGATTCTCTCTAATTAATTGTAATATTATCTGATATGAAAGGAGCGATTGTTTTTTTCCACTCATCTAGATTAAGATAATTAGTTAATTGTTGCAGAAAAATATTCTCGCCTAATTGTGATCCAATTCTCAGTGTTTCTCTTTTTCTCTTCCAAATCAATCTTATCACCATCATTATCTATGATGATATTGCATCAATATCATGTTACCTTTGTCAGAATATATTATCATCATTATGGTTATCATGATGTTTTCATCATCATCATCACCAGGATAAGAATAGGAAGAGATGAGTTAGAAGAAAAAAATTGAAGTTCTATCATCATCTTAACCTTGACATTGAACAGAAGCTAATGAGCGAAAAAAAAATTGGGTTAATCTTTAAGAAGATAATTGTAAGATCACCAAGTTTAATCTCATGTCCATCTGATTGTTTGTTGGGTCAATTGGTCAACCTACACACAATACAAATGAAAAAAATACTAACCTCATCAAAAGGGAGATTAGATTTACAATCAAGTAATTATTACTTACTGAATAAATTACTTGCTAATTTACAAATACGTCAACGGAAACTTAACGATTAACCGTTAATCTTACAACGATTTTCAGAATTATTGTTAAATCAATTTATTGGTTAATAAATTAGGATTAAAAATGATTAACTGAAGCAATAATTAAAATCTCCTATTTGTATTCATGAATATCACAGATAATTGTGATCAGGTAAATGTAATATTTATGATGATTAGTGGATGGTTAATGTTTAATAATGACCATGACTTGTGAGATTAATAGTTTTCAATATCATCATGTAAAGTTTCATATACAGAATTTAAGTTTACCGGAAATGATGGTGATGAAAATTTTGGTTCCATCTTTGTCATTTTGTCCAAATCATTTTACGGAAGTTGACTCATCATATGATGAGGATATTGATATGAAAGAGAAACTTAATTGTGATTAAGATGCTTGTCATCATCATACTGACCACTCTCACCCACCCACCCACCGCCCACTTGATTGTCTTTACTCTCGTTATTATTTACAATCATTTCCGCAGAGGAAACGGAACTGAACACAACGAAATGTTAATTATCATTTGTACCAATAATAAACAGGTAAGATCATTAACCTTTCCTTTTCATTGATTACCGTTGGGTAATTAAATGTTTACTCAACAATTAAAACGACAGTAAATACAAACACACCTTTAATCAATGATTAAATCATCTCGATGATACGAGTGCGGAATTGAAACTTTTTTTTCCTGCTCGTAATCAATATAACCCTTTATTCAATGGTGATAATTAACTAGACTCTGAATTGAACAATTGACTTGTTATTATAATAGTTAATTGATCACTTGATACAAATACTAGATGAAACTATTTATCTTTCCATCAGACTGGACAATTAAAGTTAATCATTTCCTCGATAGTGATTAACAATATATCATCAGGTTAAGAGGCTAAAATTGAACAGGTAATCATATGAATAAGATAATACTGACAATTAGAGTTAAATTTAATGATAGGGATGGTTAAGGGATGAAGGATAATCACTTTTTTTACTGTTGATTGCAAATCATTGTCATTATCATCATCATCATCTACATGATAATCATCAAGTGAACTGGGATCTACATGATGATTATTATTAAACGA